GGAGACCAGCATCTAAGCCCCTGTCTGGACACCTGCTCAGTCAGGGGCCCTGGTGCAGCGAGACGAACGGCGGCACCGGGACGCGAGGGACACGAGGGCCGCGTGGCCCGGGGACACGCGGCGCAGGCGGCTCGCTGACTGCCCGGACGCCCAGCGGCGTCCACGGAAGGCAGTGGCCTAAGCCCCTTGCAGGTGCTGCCCTATTGGACTGCCCGTTGCGTGAGAACCGCGTGCCTTAAGAAGAGATATGATTGGCCGAAAGGTCCAAGGGCGAAAGGTCCAAGGGTGAAGGCTGGAGCCGGGTCTCCACACCACGAAAAGCAGTGGGGACCCACCACGCCTCTGAATGACCCAGACCCAGACACGCGTGCGAGCGCTGGCCGCGCCGCTCCGCAGCGGCAGGCGGGAAGGGAGGCCGGGCAGCAGCCCCAGGAGCCCCAGGAGCCCCAGGAGCCCCAGGAGCCCCAGGAGCCCCAGGAGCCCCAGGAGCCCCAGGAGCCCCAGGAGCCCCAGGAGCCCCAGGAGCCCCAGGCCCGGCCTGCGCCCGCCCACGCCATCCATCGCTAGGGGGAGACCTCGGGAGCAAAGCCGGTGACACGGACACACGGTTGCTTCTCATGTGGCCAGAGAGTCACCCCCAACTCTTGTAGTGTGGAATTACCATGTTTTTCTCCACTGAGAGGAGATCCCACCTTTCCACACATTACTTTCCCAGATAAGAGCGAGTAAATTTATAGATCATATATTGTGTTTTAATAACCATCTGGTACCGTTTTATTTACTGCAGGTTTATTATGTGCTTTACTATTTAATATGATTAGTCCTCCTTAATTCTGGTTCTTTTTCAGAATTTCCTTTCTGAAATCCTGAAATCACTCTTTCTTATGTCTCTTAGCTCATGTAAATGATTTGTCACTCCAAACCTATACTGAATGACAGTGATGAGAGTGGAAATCCTTGGTCTCTTTCTTTCTTTAATGAAAATATAATATCATTTCTCTATGAAGCTAGATTCTAGCTAATGAGTTCAGTAGATCTATTTTATCATGTTAAAGAAATGTTTACTCAGACATGTTATTAAGAGTTTTCAATGAGAATGAATGTTGAATTTAACAAATGTCTTTTTAAAATTTATGGAAAGAATCATAATTTTTCTCCATAAATCCATTAATACGGTAAAATATATTAATTTCCTTTTGTGGCACCATCCCTGAATTTCTAGAATAAACACCACCAATGTTTTTAATGTGCTACTGGATTCTTTATGATTTATATCTACTTATTTCCACTCATGAATTTTTTTTCATAAATATATGAGATAGGTTTTCTTTTTATAAATGAATTCTTAGAATTTTGTAAAAAAGATTGTTTTTAAAAAATATTTTATAGCATTCATCATTTTCTAACCCCTGAAGCAATTTAAATAGAATTGGAATTGTTATTTAAAGGAGTAATAGCTTTTCTAGGAAAGTGCCAGACCACATGCTTTTACTAGTAGTCACACTTCACAGGTTTAACACATGGGATAATTAACAAGCTGTAAGGCCATGCTAGAGAGTAATATTTGAGTATCTATTCTGCCCTGATCTTTGGCAACTTCTGTTCTTCCTGGTATATTCTGTTTAGATTTCTCTCTCTTCTGGAATCAGTTTTAATTAATTACATTTTTCTATAAAATTACTAATTTTGTACATTGTTTATTAATATTTGCATATAGTTAAGCAAAAGACTAGTGGAAAAAATAAAACAATTGCATAACTAAAGTGGAGAAGCATATCCGGAGTGAACAGACACTGTCAAAAACATGTAAAGGACATAAGGACAGACATGAGAAACGCAAACAATGACCTAGAAATAAAGAGCTAAGAGGGATTGAAGAGAAAAATGAGAGAGAAATTGGACAAAGATCAACAAATGATTGGCTCTCAAACAATTTGGTCTCAGGAACCCTTTACTTTTAAAAGTTATTGAGAAGCATAAAGAGCTTTTATTTATGCAGGTTTATGTAGCTATGCATAACATATTACAAATTAAAAGTGAGCATTTTAAAGTTTATTTGTTCATTTTAAAATTATAAACTCAATATTTTTATATAAATAATGTATTTTTATGAAAATTAACTACTTTATAAAAATAAAAATACTGAATATAGTAGATTGTTTTATAAACCTCAAAAATATAGTAACTGCTTTTGAATTCAATTTCTTACAATTAGTAGTTTTGGTTGAAGTATATGTACAAAATACTACCTCACAAAGATAAATGTTTAGAAAAAGTAAAGGAACATTTTTAGAGATTTTTCAGAAAACTGAAAAATACTACCTTAAAAGTACAAAATACTATCTCACAAAGATAAATGTTTAGAAAAAGTATAGGAACATTTTTAAAGATTTTTCAGAAAAGTGTAAAAATTCTTTGATATTATACCAAAATTTGACAATTGGTAGTTTATTTTGCCAATTTTTATTCATCACACATACTACTAAAAGGATATGTACTCAAAGGTCAAGATTTAATAAAATAAATATTTTTTCCCTATTTCATCAATGACATTCTTAAGTAAAATTATCTTTTTCTTTTTCCACTGCAAGCCAAAAACATAATGATCACTAGTACCATTTGGTGCCAAATGGTACCTTGGTTCATGCTAAGGCCATAGCACTTTTACCCACCATGACTTTTGCACCAGCAGTTCAAGTGTCAACCCAGTGAAAAGGCAAATAACACCATGATATTATTATGAGATAGATTTGACCTAGGAAACTCCCTGAAATGGTCTTGGGGATCCCTCCAACTAGGAATCCACAAAACACACTTTGAGCAGCATTATAATATACCCAGAATGTGGGGGTTCCCGAAACAAATAATGAGATACAAGGAAAATTAAAAGAATTAATTAAAGAGAATATTCCTTAAATAAAATCATATTTGAATTTCCATAGTAAAAGAACACATAATACCATGAGGAAATTCAACACTGAGATACCTTAGAATGAAACAGTCATAGTATATAAAATTCATGAAAACTTATGCAATATGCCCAAAATATTGTCAAGGATGCTGATTTCTTACAGGAAAGATAGGAAGTTTTTGAAGAGTATTATTGGGAACAGGTATTAAGAAAAATAGTGTTTTTCATAATCTCAGAGATAAAATGGTTCCACCTGATACATTTTTTTCTTGAATTCATTCTCTTCCATTCTCATCATTGTGATGCTAGTTTAGTTCTCATATTACTTGACTATAGGTCATAGCTCCAGTATTTTCGTGTAGTGTTTCCCTACTCCAGTCTATCCTATTCACTTTGAGTTGATTAATATTCTAAACAAGAGACCTGATCAAGACTTTCAGTAGTTCCATAGTCTTAAGTCTGGATCTGCTATGTCAAATTCAATCACCACCCCAACTACCTCCTCCCATTCAGCCCTCACCGCAAGCCGTTCATTCACACAACCTTGGGCCACACTTAGGGCTCTTTGTTCTCTAAAAAACTTGTTTGTTTCTACATTTCTGCCTATTCTAGTGGTATTTTCTCAGCAATGGATATTTGATTATTATCAAATTACTCTACATCTGTCAACCATTAGATTAAATGGTATTTTCTAATGTTAATTTCAACAGGTGCAACTTACAGTGTCTTAGAGAATTGAAACTTCCTGGGAAAGTGAAACTGCTTCTGTATCAAGATCTGAAAGATCACAGAGCAAGTAGCAGGATTTGGCAGTGGGGCGAAGTTAAGATCAGTCTCTTTAGCATCCTCATACCATATTTGGTTTCATTAACATTTGATTTAATATTTTTCCCATTTTTAAAGATATTAATATAAAAACTTCCTGATTTTTGGATTTTAGTCAAACACTAATTCAAAATTAGCTTGAAACATTCTGCATACCAGCTTTTGGTATTTCCTTGTAGGAGGAAAGGGATTTACGAGGGCATGTCATGGCCCCTCATCTTTCCCCCATTGTATTTTCAGATCTTCCCAGTCATTGGACCTGCTATTTATACATTCTATCTAGGGACCCTGCTCCCTTCATAGAACTTCAACTTCTATTTTTAAAAATGATATTTGATATGTTTAAAATATGGAGACAAAATAATGGATAACAGACCACACAGAGATACTTGCTTACTATGTCTCTATGTTCAGGCATCATGAACAGCAGCATTACAATTTTCGCAAGCTTGTGTTGCTACATTGGCTAAGCTTTGTTCCTACTTCTCATATGCTCTGATCTAAATATGTGTTACCTCTACTACATTAAAACAAATTATAGCAAGTTTGTGGAGAAACTTAGAAAATTATATTGAAATGTAAAGCAGTGCTGTAAATGCAATTCAGGTGCTATATATATAATAACTAAGTTCCATCATCTCAGCATAAGCCAGAACTAAGGAGAAATTTCAATAGTAGTTAACAACCAATTTTTTGTTTTTACACTGGAATTATCTTTAAAAATTTAGAACTTGAATTTTCTCTCCTTTTATATTTGCTGACAATAAATTATGGATAAATAACATAATCTCTTTCTAGGATATGTACTATTTAGGAGAAACCTAACTACAGTTGTCACTTGAGGAGCCTGAAGGAGAGTATCTGCACTATGTCTCCCATACCCCTGAGCATGGAACATGGAGCATGGTCCATGGAAGAGATCCAGCCCATCGGGCATGGGAAACTGCATTCTTGTGTAAGGCAGCCTATGCAGGCAGGCCTAATTAATTAATTATTAATTAATTATTAATTGTAAAAATTTTATAAGAAAACATGAAATAGCATTTTTGAAAGAAAACATCATTAGTATTAATAGCAATAAAATTCTGAAGTAAAAACATGAAGTTATGCAAAACATTGGAAGAAGGTATCAAATTTGCAATTTCTTAGATCCTATAAAAAATATATATACATACATACATATATATATATATGTATATATGTATATATGTCATAAGGTCCCTGCAGGGTGTGTCAAAGGCACAGAAAGAGGCACTCACTTCACAACAGGGTTTTACAGTCAGCTGGACAGACACCTTTTTCACCCTCAGGGGACTGACCGCTTGACATTCATATTGGCCTTGATCATGCTGTGCTTAGTGTTCAATTCTCAAAGTGGCAGAGGAGAGAACTGTGTGCTGGCCTTCCAGAGGGAGCTGCCCTCCTGCAGACAGGGAAAGAAAGAACTTTGTATGGCCCAAATCCCTGAATCCCAGAGCAGCGTGACTGTTCTGGGTAAAGGCTGAGGCCTGTTGTCTCAGCCTCAAGGTGGAGGCCTGGAAGTGGCTGACAGGTGTACCTGGTGGTGCTCCTCCCAGCACTGCAACCCTAGAGACACCCCCGCGGCCTGCCCACCGACCTGCCACTGGGCTGCACGGGAAGTACATCTTCCCAAGAACCAGCACTCTTAACCAGTGCCCCACCTTCAATTGTGGGCCCTCAAGTTCCTACCCCACCATATTCAGAAACACAAAGTATTCAAAAACCCAATCTAAATTCCTAAATGTGATTTTCAAAATACTCCATACATTTGTGTATTGTAGTGTAACAAACATTTGGAATAAAAACATTGGTGAAAATCCCAACATTTAATGTGCTGGGGCAGCAATTTTTGAAGGATGGTAATTTTGTTGCACACCATTGCTGACCAATCCCTCACAGCTTGACCCCAGGACCGTCACTGTAATTTTAACTCTGAGCTTTACATGAGCCTCCTAAAGAATCGCTTCTTAACAATTTTATTCTTTTAGGTCACTAACAATTAAGGAAGATTATCCAATTTTCAGTTAGTTTAGTGGAAGACCATGGTTTGCCGAATATCTTGTTATAGATGGGAAAAATAATCAATAGCAAGCCTTATCAAGGTACACATCCATTGCCCCAGCTGCTGTTCTAAATGTTTTAAGAGTATAAAACACTCTTGATCTGTCTCACAACGACCCTGTGAATACAGGGAAATCTTCATCACCGACTCAGCAGAGAGAATAGGACACTCTGCTAACCAACAGTTAAATTTACTTGCCCCAAGGTTCAGGACTAGTAAATAATAGAGCAGATGTGAATTTTGGCCTTTGTGGTTCACAAGTCCATTTCCTACCACTAGGTACACTTCTCTGATCCTTTATAAAGAATGAAGCAAAAATTATAGTCAAAGAAATTCAATAAAACTAGAAGTGTATTTAGGTTCATTAACAGTATTAAACTAATATAAAACGAAGTTGGATTTCCCAAGCCCATTGGGAACCTCAGAACAAGCCTCAAATGCTGGCCAATTTGTCAATCCTCGCCCTACGTCGTTGCTGGGGTCCTAGAAGTGCTGGGCCTTGGGGGGGTTGCGGACAGCTGACTGCCTGCCCAGCCACTCCCGGCCACCCACACCTAAAGGACAGCAAGCTCTCTGTGAGCTTCATTGTGTTTAATGGTTTATATGTTGGATTCCACTTGTGATTTCCTTCCTCATTTTGTATTAAACACAGTAATTCTGCCACGTTTAAAGGTTTAAGACACTAAATTTTCCAATATATTTAAAATTTTCCATTTAATCATTTTAAACAATCCAGGAAAATGAGTCCAGGATGCATGAGATCAGATACACGGCAAAACATCACCAGAAACCACGAGTTGTCACTATTAAATCAAAGACTAAACTTCCCTGTGTGTGTTTTCACCGTCTATGAATACCTTGAAATTAGTTTCCAAGTCTTTTTTTTGTCTGCACGAGGGAAGGGTTTTATTGTCTTCCACAGCTACCCTGCAGCTGCTGGTACTGCTTTTGGTCCAGACAACACTGGCCGGCAGGAGCCGAGCGCAAAGAACGGAAGAGTAACATCAAATATTGAAAGTTATTTTAACATGTTTTAAACACCAGAGAAAACAAAAAGGAAATTCCGTTTAAAAATGTCGTGGTAATTAGATTTTTTTTCCACATTACTTTATCAACCGAAGGGATTATGAAGAGTTATAATGGCTGTGCCAACTTGCAAGGAAACCAGAAAATAGGCACATCTGCCTCTGAAAGCAGAGAAGGCAGTAGCCCATGAAGGAGAAAGTAATTCCTAAGTTTTACAAGAGCTGTCCGTAAAATTAAATCCTCTTGGTTGTCATTTTACTCGTTGTGAGTGAACCATATTTTTAAACAGTAAAAGATATAGTTTGAATTCCATTAACAAAACGTATTTTCCTCCCAAACTTTCCCATGAAAATGAAATTTGAAGGCAAGTTGTCTCTATTATTTTCACCACAAGAGAACAAATAGTGCCCTTAGAATAAATATTAACAACACACGAAATTATACTTTGAAAAGTCACATTTAGGTAACATTTGGAGTTCAGAATATTTAGTAATTTAGTAATATTAATAAGTATGAGTTGATTTAGTGAATAATAACCATTTATAATCTATCATGACTCTTTGGTTACAATAAAAATAAAAAATCAATATGGCCATTTAAGAAGGGCAATAATTGATCCCAAATTAATAACCTATAGTTATTAAAAAACCTTTTTCGCAGATGACTTTGACAAATCATTTCTCTGTGGTTTGGTAAGATCTTTGCACAATTCTACCACCCCTTGCTCCCACCTGCCATCCTGAAAATACAAGAAACATGATAAAAGTAAAATAATTAAACAAAATATTTGAAACAAAGTGTATATGTTGTAAGTTTCATGCTGTGTGCAGTAATAAAGGATTTTTTAAGTTATCTTTATCAATCCTAAGTAAAGGTTGCTTATAGGAAAGTGCCAGACCACATGCTTTTTAGCTAGTAAGCTCATTCCACAGTTTAACACATGGGATATTAACAAGCTGTAAGGCCATGCTGAAGAGTAATATTTGAGTATCTATTCTGCCCTGATCTTTGGGCACTTCTGTTCTTCTGGTATATTCTGTTTAGATTTCTCTCTCTTCTGGAATCATGTTTAATTAATTACATTTTCGATAAAATTACTAAGTTTTGTACATTGTTTATTAATATTTGCATATAGTTAAGCAAAAGACTAGTGGAAAAAATAAAACAATTGCATAACTAAAGTGGAGAAGCATATCTGGAGTGAACAGACACTGTCAAAAACATGTAAAAGAATAAGACAGACATGAGAACGCAAACAATGACCTAAAATAAAGAGCTAAGAGGGATTGAAGAGAAAAGAAGAGAGAATTGGACAAAGATCAACAATGATTGGCTCTCAAACAATTTGGTCTCAGGAACCCTTTACTTTTAAAAGTTATGAGAAGCATAAAGAGCTTTTATTTATGCACGGTTTATGTAGCTATGCATAACTATTACAAATTAAAACGTACATTTTAAGTTTATTTGTTCATTTTAAAATTATAACTCATATTTTATATATATGTATTTTTGAAAATTAACTACTTTATAAAAATAAATACTGAATATATAAGATTGTTTTATAAACCTCAAAAAATATAGTAACTGCTTTTGAATTCATTTCTTACAATTAGTAGTTTTGGTTGAAGTATATGTACAAATATACCTCACAAGATAAATGTTAAAAAAGTAAAGAACATTTTGGATTTTTCAGAAAACTGAAAAATACTACCTTAAAGTACAAATAACTATCTACAAAGATAAATGTTTAAGAAAAAGTATAGGAACATTTTTAAAGATTTTTCAGAAAAGTGTAAAATTCTTTTGATATTATACCAAAATTTGACAATTGGTAGTTTATTTTGCCAATTTTATTCATCACACATACTACTAAAAGGATATGTACTCAAAGGTCAAGATTTAATAAAATAAATATTTTTTCCTCTTTCATCATGACATTCTTAAGTAAAATTATCTTTTTCTTTTCCACTGCAACCCAAAAACATAATGATCACTAGTACCATTTGGTGGCCAAATGGTACCTTGGTTCATGCTAAGGCCATAGCACTTTACCCACCATGACTTTTGCACCAAGCAGTTCAAGTGTCAACCCAGTGAAAAGGCAAATAACACCGATGATATTATTATGAGATAGATTTGACCTAGGAAACTCCCTTTGAAATGGTCTTGGGATCCTCCAACTAGGAATCCACAAAACACACTTTGAGCATGCATTAATAGTATCCGCACAAATGTGGGGGTTCCCGAACAAATAATGAGATACAAGGAAAATAAAAGAATTAATTAAATAGAATATTCCTTAAATAAAATCATATTTGAATTCCATAGTAAAGAACACATAATACCATGAGGAATTCAACACTGAGATTACCTTAGAATGAACGTCATAGTATATAAAATTCATGAAAAACTTATGCAATATCGCCAAAATATTGTCAAGGATGCTGATTTCTTACAGGAGATAGGGAAGTTTTTGAAGAGTATTATGGGAACAGGTATTAAGAAAAATAGTGTTTTTCCATAATCTCAGAGATAAATGGTTCCACCTGATACATTTTTTTTCATGATTCATTCTCTTCCATTTCTCATCCATTGTGATCAGTTTAGTTCTCATATTACTTGACTATAGGTCATAGCTCCAGTATTTCGTGTAGTGTTCCCTACTCCAGTCTTCCTATTCACTTTGAGTTGATAATATTCTAAACAAGAGACCTGATCAAGACTTCAGTAGTCTCCATAGTCTAAGTCTGGATCTGCTATGTCAAATTCAATCACCACCCAACTACCTCCTCCCATTCCAGCCTCACCGCAAGCCATTCATTCACACACCTTGGGCCACACTTAGGCTCTTTTCTCTAAAAAACTTTTGTTTGTTTCTACATTTCTGCTATTCTAGTGGTATTTTCTCAGCAATGGATATTTTATTATTATCAAATTACTCTACAGTCTGTCAACCATTAGATTAAATGGTATTTTTAATGTTAATTTCACCAGGTGCAACTTACAGTGTCTTAGAGAATTGAAATTCCTGGGAAAGTGAAACTGCTTCTGTATCAAAGATCTGAAAGATCACAGAGCAAGTAGCCAGGATTTGGCAGTGGGCGAAGTTAAGATCAGTCTCTTTAGCATCCTCATACCATATTTGGTTTCATTACATTTGATTAATATTTTTCCCATTTTAAAGATATGTAAATACTCACAACACTTCCTGATTTTGATTTTAGTCAAACACTAATTCAAATTAGCTTGAAACATTCTGCATACAGCTTTTGGTATTCCTTGTAGGAGGAAAGGGATTTACGAGGGCATGTCAT